TGCTTTTGGTTTCCCAAAAGGTTTCATACCTATAGAGAACACAGGAACCATGGGACCAAACACAGGAACCAGATAAACCAACACATTGTGAATTAGCCATGGGACCAAACACAGGAACCAGACACAGGAACCAGATAAACCAACACATTGAATTCCCTAAACTTGAAGACTTTCCTCTACCCTCTCCTTCAATCTATTCCTTTACCCATTGAATTTGAGTAAACAGTTAATTATTGATTAAACATCTGATCGTATATGGACTAAATTCTTAAATTACTGGGTCAGCAACCATAAGAAAAAACAAAATCTTTGTCCTCTTTCCATTGTCGAAGGCCAATGGAAATTAATTCCCACGAACTCCAAACAATGTTTTCCCCGCTAAACGCCAATTTGGCAACTTCCCACTTTCTCTGTCTTATAAAAATCCCATCTTTTCTCTCATTTCAACCAATCCTCTCTCCTCTTCTCTGTAATTCAATTTCCTCTCTCTACAAAAATGTCCGGCAAGCAACAAACCCCCTCTAACGCCGTCACCTACCACCGCCCAGGCCACCACCACAACCACTGTGGCTCCGGCTGCGGCAGCTTCACCACCTTTCTCAAGGTCCTCGTCACCATCATCATCGTTATTGGTCTCGCCGTATTGATCTTATGGCTCATATTCCGTCCCAACAAAGTCAAATTCCACGTCACCGACGCTAAACTCACCCAATTCAACCTCACCGATAATCAGCTTCATTTCAACTTGGCTCTCAACATCACCGTCAGAAACCCCAACAGCCGAATCGGAGTGTACTACGACACCATCGAAGCTGCCGCTGTTTACAAAGACCAACGGCTGCAGACCAAGTGGCTGCCGCCGTTCTACCAAGGCCACAAGACCACCGCCGTCCTCAGCCCGGAATTCTCTGGCCAGCAGCTCCTCCTCCTTTCCGGCCAGGGGCTGGCACAGTTCAGCTCCGAGAAACTCGCTGGCGTTTACGATATCGACGTCGAGCTTAATCTCCGTATCAGGTTGAAGTTGGGCGCCGTAAGGATCGGGAAATTTAAGCCGAAGGTGAATTGTGAGGTAAAAGTTACGTTGAGTTCCGATGGAAGCTCAGCTCCGTCGTTGTTTCAGTCCACTGGCTGTGATATTGATTATTGGTAATTTGGTTGTTGGTCTTTTGTTGGATTCATAAATTCATTGTATTTTTGTTGGTATTATTTTAATGTTTGATTGTATTTAATTTTGTCAATTGGTTATATTATATTGTGTGAAAATAAATTAGTATGGTCACCTTCTTCCGTCGGATTAATCACGACAATAACATAAAGGAGAGTGATAAAAAATGTTATTATCTCAATTTTAAAATTCAATATTCAAACGGTACTTATAACAAATAATATTAAATATTTTCTAAAAAATCTTATGGTGCATGATTATAAAATTTTCTCCCAAGGAACCCGTTTGGAAAGAAAAAAACATTTTTTATAAATGTGTTGAAAACTTTCCATAATATACGTTTTTTACATTTGTGAGGCTGACGACGATATGTAACGCGTCAAATCGAACAATATTTGTTAGCGGTGAGTTTGGTTCTAGTTACAAATGGTATTAGAGCCCGACTCCAAGTAGTGTACTAGTGAGAATGGTGGCCTCCAAGGGAGTGGATTGTAAGATCCCATCATAGTTGGAGAGAAGAACGAATCATTACTTATAAAAGTGTAGAAACTTTTCCCTAGTAGACACGTTTTAAAACTGTGAGGCTGATAACGATAAGTAATGAGCCTAAGCGGACAATATCTATTAGCGGTAGGCTTGGGTCAAATTACGAATAGTATCAGAGTCAAATAATGGGCTGTGTAGCGAGGATGCTAGGCCCCAAGGGGTGGGTGGATTGTGAGATTCCATATCAATTGAGAGGAGAACGAAGCATTTAGACGTGTGAAAATTAACAAGCTAAAGTAAACAATATCTATTAGCGGTGAACTTAACTTGTTATATAAATCATATGTCAACCGTGTAATATGACCTACAAAAATCCATAGTTTTACAACATGAAATCGTTTCATTATCTAACAAACTGCTAATTATCTATTACTTCGCAACCAAATAAGAATCTTTGTTCCAACTCTCTCCCAGGGATAAGAAAGAAATATAAATGTCCCCATTCCTGATGTTATGGTAGTCTTATTGAATAATTTATTTGTCATGCATAATACAAAAAAAAAAAAAAAATGAAACGTTTATGATACGACGTGTCATAGCTGGCTTGTGCATATAAACTACGGGTTGTCATCTCTATAAATTTCGTAATACAAAGAGCGTAGTATCATAACATGGGAATGTCATCGAAAATATTCAAATTAACATCTATAATTAAACATTGACTCACAACATAGTTAATTATTCAAAATGCCACTTGATATTAGAATACAAAAATTCCTAGTTTTATAACATACAAAATGATTTAATTAAATCAACAGCTAATGTCTAATAATATATGATTTGGTCAACAAAAACAAAAATCTTTGTACAAAACCCTCCAAGGTGACCATGAACTCCAAAACATTAATCTCTCAACCATGTCAAGAACAAAGAAATGCATGATCATTTTCTTGATTATCATCTTAGTTTTAGTTCTTCTTTCGTTGTTAATCGTCTGGCTCATCACCATGGCTAACAAGATCAAATTCCATGTGATCGGCGCCGACCTGACCCAATTCAACTTCACGGACGACAACCAACTCCTGTTCGACCTGACCGTGAACATGAAAGTCAAAAACCCTAATCGTGCCTTCGGAGTTTTTTTCGACCGCATCGAAGTGACCTTGTTGTATCAAGACATAAAGTTTAGTAACGCGTCGATGTCACCTTTCTACCAAGGCCAAGATGGGTCGAAGCTGCTGAAATTGAAGTTTGATGGTCAGCAATTGATGAACCTCAACGCTGAGCAGCTGGCTGTGTTTGGTCTCGAGAAGCTTGTTGAGATCTTCACCCTTAAATTGGAGCTTCGTCTTCAGATAAGGGTGAATATCGATCTCATTAAGATCAAACTCAAGCCCAAGGTGCATTGTGGGCTTAATCTTCCCTTGATTTCTCGTGGAAGAACGTTTCTACGCTTCCAGATTATCGGCTGCCATGTCGCTTATTGATTTACTGTCTCAAGTTTTAGAAAAAGTAGAGTTTTGAACGTACGAAGTAAAAACTGTCGTTTTTAACCACTTAAATTTGTACCAATAATTACCAAGAGTATGATGATTTTTTTTTTTTTAATATATATTAAGAGTTATTAAAAACTCGTGATATTGTAGTAGTTTTTTTGAATAACTCCTCAAATTGGACATAGATAATCTTTTGTGAATATTTCATAATTATTATGAAGATAATTAAAAAAATGACTAAAGATGGTTTCTAATGTAGTAATTGAGTTATAATAACGACCTAGTGACATTAATAATTCAATTATTATTATTTTTTACTTATATGTTGTATAATAATCGATGAAATATATTAAAATAAAAAAACAAATAAGTCTAGAGTGACCATGAATTTATTATTAATTGAAATAATATCTTAAAAGTTTTTGTAGATTTCATGTCTGAAATATTAACATTAAAATATTTAATCAAATTTTTTATATTTTTACTTATAGTCCTAATTATAAAATTTAGACGTTACTTTTTTTAATCTAGGAGTTTATCTCATAGTCCCACATTTGATTAAATGCTATAATGGCGTTTAAATAATTTATTGCAATAATGCCAAATAAGATATGTTCAAACGGTTTTTTATTTTTATATAATTCAAATGAAAATTTGTAGGATGTCTTGTGCGCATTAAAATAATATTAATATCTTCATATCTAACCTATCTAACATAAAATAATAAATTTAAAAGTATTAGTTCATTCGTTGTGAAAATTTTATTTTTACTAAAATTAATTAGTTTAGGAAGAATTTTTTTTTGTTAAAATTACTAATTAAATTACCGTATTTGAATTAAGAATAAAAATTACAGTATTTATTTAAACTTAAAATACAATTTAATAAAATTTAAAATTTATAATCTAAATTGATGCAAATAATAGTCATCATCTTGGTCTTCAGATAACATCGATTATAAATGAACGACTAATTAAACCGTTTGTTGTATACAGGGAGAAATTAAAAACAAAAAATAAAACTTAAAAGAATTAAATTATTTAATACATGGAATAATAAAAAAAGACTTCAAAAAATTAAACTTTTAATATATTGTATGATGACATAGATTAGAGATAAAAAAAAAGACTTCAAAAAATGTTTTTTTTTTATTTAAAGAATTTGACTAATAACCATCTTTTAAATAAATAGTTATATAAAATAGATTCAAACCAGCCATTTTGCTGTTATGGATAAGATATATCAAATAAAATTTTAGACTAATGTATAATTAATTACCATAACAATATATATTAATATTTACCATAAGGTAAATCAATATCTCTAATAAATTATATGAATGTAGATAACATTAACATGAAGAACCTTAAATTCTAAAATAATAAAACAATAAACTATTTTAAATAGAAAATAAATTATGAATAAACCATAATTCTTTTTCTTTTTTCCTTGACTTCAAATATGGAGCAGGCTTGGGTCGAAGTATAATTAGGGGCCCACAATATAGTCGTTTTGATTGTTAACCGCCACGCTGGCATATGAAAAAGGTTCCCTTAGAAAATGTTCACCTACACCTCCCCGCACCAGATCACAATTAATACCAGAAAAGATCAAGAGGAAAAAAACGTACAAAATGACAAAAGAAGACGACACGAGACGTTGAACTTATGGGTCTCGTCATGTGGGCCCCCTCCTATTTAATACGAAACGTAACTGACGTGGCAAAAACGGTCATGCAAATACAAGCCTAGTGGGCTGACACGTCGACCGAGAGTTGACACGTAGTAATACTACGTGTCAAACAATAATGACAAGAAATAGTGATACCGTCCAATGCACGTTGCAGATTCTGGTCAGTGGGTAATCTCAATAGCCAAAAACGAGGCCGTTCGATCGCCGTCGGGAGAATCTTTTTGGACCGGGAAGTCAGCGGCGTCATGAGTGGGCGACGGCGTGAAGAAGGGAGGAGAACCGCAGGGCGTATAAAACGGCGTCGTATCGAAATCCGGTTTAGGATCACACTCGCAAGATTCTACTCCTTCTCTCTCTTCTTCCTCTTCAACAATAGTGAAAAGCGCTCTGGACGGTCCGCACAGTACCCGCCACTTCTCCAATTCTTGGTCGACCGCCGCCGTCTCCGCCGTCGCGGAATCATCGTGGACTTTGGACGCGATTTCTGTGGGTTCGATCCTGGTTTTGGTCCTCCAGCAGAAAAGGTAGATGCAATTTTGTTTGGGTTGGGTGGGGGTGGGGTGGTGGCGCGTGCGAGAGAAAAAGAAGAGGATTTGGGCGAGGAGGAGTAGGAAAGTGATGGCGAAGAGGGAGATGAGTGCGGTGGCGATCTTGTACAGGCCGCCGTCCATGTTTTTAAGGGAATTACGGGTTAAGAAGAGAAAAGATGAGGAAGAGAGATTTTGAGGGGAAAATGGAAATGGTGATTTAATTTTTGTTTTACTCTGTGAATTAATGGTGACGTGGAGTTGGGAGAGTGTGGGGTGGTTCAAATTTTGAAGTAGTTGAGCGGGTTATCAATGATGGTGCCTCCCAACGGGCTTCTTTTACGGAAACAAGTCTATTTTACTTTATAGAAGGACGGGTAAGACTTTGGAAAAAAGGTACACGAGGACATTTGTGAGAAGGAAGCACACTGGATCTCTAAGGGATGGATGGTGAGATCTCACACGTGTTTGAAGAAGAAAACGAAATATTCGTTATAAGGGTGTCGAAACCTTTCTCTCTAGCTTGTTCAGCCTCTAAAGGGTGGAGTGTGAGATCCCACCGGATTCGAGAGGGAAACAAAACATTCGCATGAAAACCTCTTCCTATCGCGGGATTTAAAACTGCGAGGCTGACGATAATACATAACGAGCTAAAACGAACAATATCTACTAGCGGTGGTGGCATGAGCAGTTACGGTATATTTATCCTTTTCAAAGGCTTATAAAACCCATTTAATCTTGTTAATAAATTTACTTAGGGGCCATTGTCTTCTTCTTAAATAATCTCTGAGTTTGTGTTCTTCACTGGATTGATTGCAGTATTCGAAACCACCACTTTGTCTCCCTGCGTTTGCATGGTTTTTGGCGTGTGAGGAGAGAATGAAGTTAGGTGAATTGTGGGTAGCTTTTTGTGTGAATGTAGGTGTAACAGAGTCAATCTACAAAAGCTAAAGCGTGGATTTCCAATAACAGCTCTTCCACAAATGGCCTCCATGCCCCAATCTCTCAGCTTTCTTCATATTTTTTTATGACTGACGTGTGATTTTTTCTTGGAAGAGAGTTTAGCCAAACTCACGTGTACACTCTTAACAAGTAGTAGAATAGAAGCATTCTATCTTAAGTATTGATCCCACCAAGATTGCTTATAAATTAAAACACATTGCTTATAAATTAAAGTGTTTTAAGTGAAGCAATTTATCAAATTGCAATAAGTTGGTAACCCGAAAATGTTAGTTGATCCGAGTGCGTAAGATGTAACTGTTGGATGATGAAAGTCCCACATCGGTTAATTTAGGGAATGGTCATGGGTTTATAATCTAAGAATACACTCTTCATTGGTATGAGGCCTTATGGGAAGCCCAAAGCAAAGCCATGAGAGCTTATGCTCAAAGTGGATAATATCATACCATTGTGGAGAGTCGTGTTTGTCTAACAGTACGAAGGCAGTCAAAAATGACTAAGATTCCAAAAGGAGTCGAGCCTCGATTAAGGGGAATGGTCATGGGTTTATAAGTAATGAGGCACATGTCACATTCGCATCTTTTCAGCATGTTTTGTTCTCATTCACATGTATCACCTAACACACGGAAAAACCTAACACACGGAAAATTTTTAAGAGGTCTACTTGACATAAAATTGTTTCAAGTAAAACACGTTTAACTAAAGAAGATCGTTTCCATTCAAACGTGGTCTTAATTGAATGCCACAACATATATAATTAATTTCTTTTTACAAACCCTAATTATTAGAGACAGTTATGAGTTAGGTCAAAAACTCAACAAGCAAAGCTCCCGAACATTAAAGGCTAGTTGGGCCACATCTGTTTTGAAAACTTGGTAGACATGAAAAACATGAATGGACACGTTCTATTATTAAAGTGAAAATGGCCCAAACCAAGGTCACCCTACATAGCCCCACCCTAATCCATGGCTGCTCCAAATATTTCAACCAACATGAATTCAATTCGGATTATAATTCTAAATTATATGCATATGAACTCCACTTGCACTCCAAAGTATGTCCAAAATTTTGTCTCAAACAAGTGTATGGTTGAAGATAACGACCTAACAGACATCAAAAGCTGTCACAATGTTCTAAAAAATCCATTCAAAGACAGCATTTCTGTCTGATTTATTCACATGAGGTTGGTTGGGTTCTCTCTCTTTTTTGACCAAGCATCTACCATGGTGGAAACAGCAACTCCACATGAAAGAATCTCCTTCTCAATCGATGTTTCTTTCCTTGGATCCTGAGGGGAATGAAGAGAGTGACAATTCAAATTGTAAAAAGAAGAAGAAAAAAAGAAAGAAACTTGAGGGAATTGTTCATTGATTTTGGATCCCTTACTTTGATGAAGGAATAATATTATGACACTCTTTCTTCACCCACACACATTCGTTAAAAGGGAATGGAGAGAGTGACGGTGTGGAAAACAACCATGGTGTTACTTCCCCTTTACCTCTTTTTTTCTTAAAGTCTGCAAAAGGGATCAATTTGTGTTCAAACTTTGTCTCCATGTTTAAATCTTTTGTCTTTTGTAGATGCCCAACACAAATTTTACTTCCCTCAATTCTTCCTTTGGTGGGTCTCCCAATTTTGCAGCTTTTTCATTATCTACGTCTTTCTAAATCTTTGTATCCTTTTCTTTCTTCTTTTGTTTTCTTTAAGAAATGCTTAGGACAATGCAACTTGGATAACCAAACCTATATGCACATTGTTTCTCCCATATACCTCTACAAAAAGTTGGTGAGAGATTGCACTACCTTTAACTTATTAGGGAGAAGTTTCTACACTCTTATAAAAAATGCACCGATGTGGGATCTCTCAATCCACCCCCTTTGGGGACTAGCGTCCTCACGGCACATTGCTATCAGTCTCACAGTTTTTGTGAGATCCCATATTGATTGGGGAACAGAACAAAACATTTTTTATAAGGGTATAGAAACTTCTCTCTAGTTGACACGTTTTAAAAATCTTGAGGGGAACGTTAGCGGTGGGGTTGCACTGTTTCAGTTTTAAAATGCGTCTACTAGGCAGAGGTTTCCATATCTTTATAAAGAAATGTTTCGTTTTCCACTCCAACTAATTAGGGATTTATTGAGGTAAAGATTCATGCAATAGTGCAATGAAGAAGGAAAAGAAAGTTACCATGTGAAAACATTGGTCCCAACTTCTTATCTCTACATTATTGCGGGATAAAGATTCACAATATTTTACCTTTAAACACGACCTAAAATACCTTGTGGATCACAATTGAAGTGTTACATTTGAGGCCAAATTAGATGCTTGCCATAACTGAACCAAACATCAAATGAAACAAGATGAACAAAATGAATCAATTTGAGTGCATAACTTTTAAACATGATCAAAACAATTGGTTGAAGAGAACTTTGGGAGATGCTTTAAGGTACTTTTATGATCTTTTCATTAAGATGAGTGTCTTTCTTGATATATACGACTTAAAAATTAGCGGACAAGAATGGAGTTGTAAGTATTAGAACAGATAGGCTTGTGCACATAGGCGATATGCCTAAAGGTTAGGCCAAATTCCAAATAAATCAATGAAAAGGGGGAAAAGGTAAAAGGAAAAAGGAAAAACATGACAAAATTTAAAGAGAAGATGAAGGCCATGTCTTTAGAAAGTGATTAGAGTTCCAAAAAGTTGGCTATGTATATATAAATGCATTGGGATTTAATGGTGGGTTTTAAAAGGTTTCCAAACTGAAAGAAACATAATGGTTTATCTTTAATCTCAAACAATTTAGCTTGTTGCTTAAGTTTTCTTTACTTCCATAATGTGAAGGATCAAACACAAACCCTTCTTCTGTTACTTTCCTACCCAAAAGGCACACGCCTCAGTAAGATATACATAGTTTTTTTAAGTTCCCATTAAGAAATTAGTTGTGTTTAGTTAAAAGTTCAAAGCTTTTTGAGTTTGTGATGATATTGAATTTTATCATTTTCCCTTACTTTCTTCATGATCTAATAGTTTTTATATCGGATCTTTAAATATAAAGAGTAAAAAGTTGAGGACACGTGAGATAAACGTATCGAAAATCATATATATCTATAGAATACCTTGTTCACTAAATCAAATATACTTTCGGATGAAATCTAGATAGCTAGTTTCTGAATCTCACAATCCACTCCTTTGGGGGTCTACCGTCCTCGCTCACACCTTTATAAGAAATGTTTCGTTTCCTTTTCCAATTTATGTGGGATCTCACAATCTAACCCCCTTGGAGGCCCGTCGTCCAACATTCCCCTCTCCAAACGATATGGGATCTCACAATCCACCTATTGGAGGGCCAGCGTCTTCGCTGGCATATCACCCAATGTCTGACTCTGAAACATTTGTAATAATCCAACCCCACTGTTAGTAGATATTATCTGCTTTACTCCATTACGTATCGCCATCAGCCTCACGATTTTAAAGCACGTTTGTTAGGAAAGATCTTCACACCCATATAAAGAACGTTTCGTTCCTCTCTTCAATCGATGTGAGATCTCACTGTGAACAAAATCCAATATGACAAGTTCTTTTTTCTTGCTTATATCTTAAGAATCGATGGTAGCCTAGCCTCTTCTATTTTTGAATGAAAATAATTTTTGTTAGATCTGTGACCTAAATTCTTGTTTTCAGGTAATGTTGTATTGATTTTGAGAGCGAGAACCAATGAAGTCTTCTAAACCTCTCCATACCAAAATGTGTTGCCATGTCTAACCACTTGTTTAATACATCTCAACCACAAACCCCACATGACTCATTGATGCTCACATTTGTGTGGGTGTTATATGGGTCATCGAGATATAGCATTGGGCAATGCTGCTTTTGAGAAAAGCTGAAGCGTCCAAAATGTTGAATGAAAAGGTGGTGTGCGCATTTTGATCAAAGTTAATTGTCCCTATGAGCCAACAATTAACACTTCCCACACACCCACTCAAAAGAAGAGAAGCTCTCAGTGTTTGCTTTGCTTTATCCAAAAGAGGAATCCCACTTTCTGCTATTAATTAGGTTTTATTTCATTTCCCTCTTTTACTTAAATTCTTTCTTAATTATTCGTTCTTTAATTGTTTTGCTTCTTTTGAGGCAAGAACGAATAAAACCCATTAATCACCCAACCAGATAAACTCAAAACTGTAAT